AACATGCATGCAATAGAAATCTTTTTAGTTACATATATAAGATATATAATATTTTATAAGTGTTTATAATTATATTAAATATAATATATATTAATACAAAGTTTTTTTAAACAAACTTTTAAATATTTAAATATTATTTTTTTAGCCACAGTCATCTCCCACAAAACCAATAATATTTGCTGAATGGGCAACTGGTTCCTGCATTCCTCCTGAACCAGAAGTTTTAGAAAAGCACATTGATTCTATAGTTGAGGTTAGTATAATTTTATAATTTAATTTTTTAATAAATAAAATTTACTATATTTATTTTCATCATAATTAAGATACTTCAACTGATTTAATTTATACTTATTATTTTTTTTTCTTTTTGAATTGAATTTATTTGATTTTATGAATGAAACTTAGATATTCATGAATCCTGTTGGCATTTCAAATAAATTTTGTTTTTGTGAGCATTAAAAGAATGTGGTTTTGCCAGAAGTCCATAAATTGTCTTCCAATATAAAGATACTATTTTTAACTCTAAGCTCTGAAAATTTCTTCTTTCTATGTACTGTACCTGGAAACAAAAATTTTTTACCCCTAAGGCTACGAGGAGAATTTGTACAGAAAAACTATTCAAACAACTTTTTCTTTGGCTGCTTTCATCTCTAACAGATTAAGCCAATTTTGGCTTAATCTGTTAGAAATTAGTCTCATGTTTAAAGAGTTAAACATTTAAACTATTAAATTATTAGTGCAAACTTAGCCAATAAAACATTGTTTTATTGACAATGATCTAGCAATGTTTTATGAATTATTTTCAAATTATTCATTCAATTTTTATAGAAAAAAAATCTAAATAAATGTATTAAGAACAGTAATAGCATTATATTTATGGCCATGGGTTATCTACTTTTATACAAGTTTTCATCTGATGAAGTAAATAAATATATTTAGCATATAAAAGTAATATATTTTATTACTTTTAAAGACCTTAAAGATAATTTATGGTGTATTTATTGTATCTTTTTGGAAGTCATTGACTATCCTATTATGCCTACGTTCAATTTTATATAAGAGGAAGAATAAGAGTCAAACAATTTTATTAAACTATAATCGAATTTCTATAATGTTTTCTTTAAAAATATTGTAAAATTTTAAAATTTGTTTTAAATGATTATTTTCCCTTATTTCATAAATATTCAATTTAACAAAGTCGTATTTGAATTGAATAAAATATTAAAATAAAATGATAGAATAATATTTGAATAAAAATTTAAAAGTTAAGTATCATTAATTAATATAGAAAGGAAATTATTTTAAGTGGAAGATTCTTACTGATGTTGGATTACGTGGTTCTCTGCTTAGTGACAATTCATATAATTCATCTTCAGTGTATGCTGTTTCTACAGATAACTGAAAAAATTATCAAAAATTTTAAATTAAAAATTTTATAAAATTACATTATTTTAAAAGATTAAATCACTTTTTTATTTTAAATTAAACTAATTTAAAATTATCTAATACATGACAAATTTTTGATGATAGGCTAAAAACAAGTTACCACCAAATGGGCAAAGTAATACGAAGTTGTTCGGCCAAATTTTTGTTTCAGACAAAATATGGTTACACAATGAAATTTGGAAGAAAGAAGAAAGATTGCGGTGTGGATAGAAGTCTTTCAGTCATCTTTGAGAAAGAAGTTACAAGAGTGGTACAAGAATCCTCCATGTTTAACTATTTGTCACATATATGAGAAATTTGATCAAACAGTCTAATTGCAAATAACTTAAGGGGAACAACGTAGTTATTAGAATGGAAAATAAAATTGTAGGTGTTCAAGCAGCAGTCCTGAACAGCCTGAAAAACTATTCCTAGATTAGAACTGGAAACCAGTATCTTTCAAGAATTGCTTTGCAGAATTTTCCATTTTGATTTGTGAATGAAGCATTAGCACATTGAAATAATTTACTGCAAGCACTTTCAAATCTTGATAAAAACACTTGCATAAGAGGAGGATTAATTTAAATTAAAATATATAGTTTATTAAATTAATAATAAAAGCAGTTACCATTTGAGTGATAACATATTTTGCACAATCTTTCATTATAGTACTAATTCAATAAAAATTGAAATGTTCTATTTTTATATATTAGTAGTCATCATCACCATATAAAAATAGATAGATTTAATTAGGTTAAAGTATAATAATTTTTAAATGTAATTTGAATATTTTGAATTATGATAAATTATAATATTGTCATTTATATATTTTTAGATTTACATTATCATCTCAATTTTTTAGGAATCTGTTGTTAATTATTGGTAACATTTTCAAAACTTCATTGCTTAAAATGGCCATTCAAAATATTAAATTTTAAATAGCCATACATTAAATAGAATAACAATTTTGAAACAACAGCTGATGATAATATTTCCAATAATAATTAGTAACAAACTCCTAAAAAGTATTTATATATTTTTAGATTTATAATATTGATGAAAATACAGAGTCAATATACATGTCAGTTTTTAAACTATAATATTCTGGGACAAATTAAATTAATTTAATAAACATTCAACAATAAAAAATTGAAACACATAGTAAACAATCAGTTCTGAGTTTGAGACTTCTGTTATAGAATATAGTAGCAGATAAATTAGCAATCTGAGCATTGATACATTAACAAAATTTTGCATCTAAATACCTGTATATAATTTAATTGAATTTATTGATTTAAGTATTAAATCAAGCTAGCAAATTTATCAATGATTAAATACATCTGGTGTACTAGGTAAGCATATTTAAGCTAATTAGAAGCAATTTGTTAAATCTAAATTTGGTATATCTGAAAAAGATCTGAAATGTGTAAAAGACAATCTGCTATATATCTGCCACTATATGAGGATTACTAATAAAAATCTCATTCTTAATCACTTCATTTTCAGATTTTAAAATTATGGCTAGATTATAACACATCTTTACATATTTAACATTAATTTAAAATGTTATAAATTGCTAAATTTAGTGGCAATTAATTTTGAACACAAATGAATAAAAATCAAGACACAACTGATGGTGTTCATACTCTTGTATAATTACCTCAAAACAATAAAAATAAATAAAGAATAATGTTCTAGATATAATTTTATAAAGTGTCACAAAGTGTCAGTAATATTAAATTCCATAGAATTATTCCAACAATATGAAAACATTGCTTTGCAATAACATACCTACAAGTAGATTGATACATTCTACATAGACTGTGTTCCTGTTATAAATGAAGCACATCCAGATAAGCAAATATAATGATAAATCATAATATCAAACACATTCACAAGATGGATGATTCTGAATTATTGCAGAATTATTATTAATTATATGTAGAGGACATATAACATATTTATAAACAGCATATAATATCAATAATATACAGCAGTGCATATTTAAATCTGTATCTAAAAAAAATATTTTACTTTTAATAACCAGAGCATGAAAATGACATTAAATAACAGTGAAACAATGATGTAAATTTGAATTCTCTATTGTTTTCTCCCAAAACATGGTAGATATATTTTGTATTTTTTAAAATTAATGTCATTCAAATATAATTAAGTTAGAGAGATCTATTCAAATATATTTAAAAGTACTGAATATTCCATTTTCAAATTGAAGTCAATAAAAAGTATCAAGTAAAATCCAATAATAAACTGAAATTTTTGTTCAAATTAAATAATCACAATATCATAAAATGAAGATATTCCTGAGTGTCATTTGCACTCTTGATATTTGAAAAGCATGCCACATTTATGAGTCAGAATCCTTTGCATATACAGTCGACCCCTATAACGCGGGTTCATATCATGCGGATTCATATATCGCGGTGAAAATATTGCGACCGTATTCATATAAAGACACTAAAAGACACTCGCAAAATGTGGTAAAACGTCATTGCCAACTTGTGTCACGATAGGATTGGTCAAATCTGGACCAACAGTGGACAAGCAGTCAAACTATTTATATGCTACAGAGAGTTTAGGTGGGTAAGTTGAGTTTACTATCGTCTGTACAGTATATAAATTAGGTACTGTAAGTCTAATACAGTACTATAATTTTATACATTTCTTGTGAAAAAAACATTTCTTATTCAATAAAAATTATTTCTATTAATGATGTCTCCAAAGTTCAGCGAATTTTTCGCAGAAAAATAACTTATCAGAAAACGCGCCCGCCATTTGGCACGCTGCTCCGTGAAGAAAACAAGCTTAAGCAATGGCGTCGTTGAATGGTGCACACTCAGTAAGTAATCCTACAAATTTTTGTTTATAGTATAGTTTATATGGATTATTTCCAAAAAATTATACGTGTTTTGGAAATCTTGAGTCAAATTAGTCTAGAATCGATTAATTTTATGGAAGAAAACCTTTCAAACAACCGTACTCTGTAAACTGCATATGTGCCGGGAGTTGTGATTGGCTCATATATTTAAGGATTCCTACAACACGAAATTCTTATAAAGTGGAACTTATCTACTGCGTTATGGGGGGATCGACTATAATAAAATTTACCAATTACTTTAAAAAAAGTTAGTTTGAATTTATGTTTTTTAGAATTATTTTTAGATTTTTTAAAAAAGTTCCCACAGTATGAAAAAGTAATAATAAGTATGAACATTTATTTTAATATTTAAAAACATATAATTTTCTGTTAAAGATAAAATACTTTGTACCAGAATAATAATAATGAAATATCATTAGAAAATGATACGTAATGATTTAAAAGTATGCTAAAATAAGCAAATGCTGGTGTGTGTGTATGTATATGTATATAAAATAATTGTCATCCTTTCAATCTTTCTCAATTTTTTTATCATTTAAATATAGTTTAAATGACTACAAATAAACTCAATACTAATAGATTAGTATATTCCTTTTTTTATTTTACATTATTATAAATATATTTATAACCTGTAAAGTTTTTATAAATATTCTATTTAAAAACTTAGATTTAAAAATCTTTGTTAAAGAAGAACAAACCAAATATATATACTGGTTTATTACAAAAAAAAAAATTTTATTTGGTTTATTATTTATAAAAAAGAAAAGAACTAAAATTATCTTGATGAAAAAAATCATTTTATGTATAAATGATTGTAAATATTATTGAAAATTGTTTACTTTTTAATGAAATTAAAAACTGACATGAAACTAATTTTTCAAAATTTATACTGTTCATAAAATATTTTCTTAATAATTCTTTGTTAAAATAATCCACATTTTGTATATAACATTGACACTAAGTATTTGTTGACATAAATAAAAAAAATAAAATAAAATTTCATATTTGAATAATACTTACTCTAAGCGTATTTACTAAATCTAAGTTTACAGAGAGAGAGGGTGTCGAATTTTGGAGTTCCCATAATTCTTGGAATATCAAGGATAATTGTACTATTTTACGAAAATTTATTAATCCATTATCTAAAGTATCAGGAAGCGCAACTTGTAATGATATCAAATCTTTCATATGTACACCACTAAAAAATTTAAATTAATAGCAATTAATTGTTTTATCTAATTACATCATATTTCATTATAAAATACTTATTTTATTTTCAGTGTAAAATTTATAAAAAGTTTCAAAAGTTATTTTTTAATTAAGTAAATATATAATTTAAATAATTTTAAATCTAAATCCACAGTTTTAGATATGATATTAACAATAAATAATAATTGAGATATTAGTTTAATAAATATAATTATGCTTGATAAAAATAGCTATTGTTTATTATATTAATTAATAATTAATATAATAAACAATATTATAATATATAATAAACAAATATTAAAATCACCAATAAATTAATTACAGAATTGGAATGCGAAATCCTTTACTCTCAGCTAATGCTTTTCGATAATTAGTAAAATTTGATGCCGAAGATAACAGGTCTGTCAATTCTTCTAAAGACTTTATAGTCTCGGACGGTACAGCAGCCATAGTCCGAGTCAGTCTGGCCAAAGCACTGTGGCTCAATCCTCCAACAACTGCCATTAATGAATTAAAATTTTGAAGCTGTAGTAATTTCTACAAATAGAATGAATGAGAATATAAAAAATATCAATCTTTTCAATTTTCTTAAATTTTACATAATAAATAATTATATAATTTTTGATTCAAAGAACAAAACTAACTTGCCTTAGCTACAGATACAAATTTAGTGATAACGTCGGCTCTTTGCTGTGCTAATGAGCGACTAAGCACCATACATTGGATCCACTGTGAAAGACCATTAAATAGTGCTATGGATCTTTCTAGTTTAGCGTTATCTTGTAATGTACCAGACTGTGCATAAGCTTTAAAATCTAGAAACTGAATATAAATATGAATTTTAAAGATATGCCAAAATTACCAATAAATTAATTTAAATAGATGTATAAACTAAATTATAATTATAGAATTTCNTGATTGAAAGGTTTTCTTCCATAAAATTAATCGATTCTAGACAAATGACATGAAACTAATTTTTCAAAATTTATACTGTTCATAAAATATTTTCTTAATAATTCTTTGTTAAAATAATCCACATTTTGTATATAACATTGACACTAAGTATTTGTTGACATAAATAAAAAAAATAAAATAAAATTTCATATTTGAATAATACTTACTCTAAGCGTATTTACTAAATCTAAGTTTACAGAGAGAGAGGGTGTCGAATTTTGGAGTTCCCATAATTCTTGGAATATCAAGGATAATTGTACTATTTTACGAAAATTTATTAATCCATTATCTAAAGTATCAGGAAGCGCAACTTGTAATGATATCAAATCTTTCATATGTACACCACTAAAAAATTTAAATTAATAGCAATTAATTGTTTTATCTAATTACATCATATTTCATTATAAAATACTTATTTTATTTTCAGTGTAAAATTTATAAAAAGTTTCAAAAGTTATTTTTTAATTAAGTAAATATATAATTTAAATAATTTTAAATCTAAATCCACAGTTTTAGATATGATATTAACAATAAATAATAATTGAGATATTAGTTTAATAAATATAATTATGCTTGATAAAAATAGCTATTGTTTATTATATTAATTAATAATTAATATAATAAACAATATTATAATATATAATAAACAAATATTAAAATCACCAATAAATTAATTACAGAATTGGAATGCGAAATCCTTTACTCTCAGCTAATGCTTTTCGATAATTAGTAAAATTTGATGCCGAAGATAACAGGTCTGTCAATTCTTCTAAAGACTTTATAGTCTCGGACGGTACAGCAGCCATAGTCCGAGTCAGTCTGGCCAAAGCACTGTGGCTCAATCCTCCAACAACTGCCATTAATGAATTAAAATTTTGAAGCTGTAGTAATTTCTACAAATAGAATGAATGAGAATATAAAAAATATCAATCTTTTCAATTTTCTTAAATTTTACATAATAAATAATTATATAATTTTTGATTCAAAGAACAAAACTAACTTGCCTTAGCTACAGATACAAATTTAGTGATAACGTCGGCTCTTTGCTGTGCTAATGAGCGACTAAGCACCATACATTGGATCCACTGTGAAAGACCATTAAATAGTGCTATGGATCTTTCTAGTTTAGCGTTATCTTGTAATGTACCAGACTGTGCATAAGCTTTAAAATCTAGAAACTGAATATAAATATGAATTTTAAAGATATGCCAAAATTACCAATAAATTAATTTAAATAGATGTATAAACTAAATTATAATTATAGAATTTCATATACATTTAAATCAAAATATATAAGAGTTCTAGTTAGTCATTTTGAAACTGGGTTCTGGAAAATAATTCTGATTTAAGAGAAGTAAAAACTTAAAGTAAAATATATTTTCTTTGACTCAACAGAAATAAATGTTCCTAAAATTTAAATTATAAATATAACAAATATACAATAAAAAAAAAGTTTTAAAATTATGCAATACTGAGTATTTAATTTACTTTATAAATAACATCAAATATATATAAAATAAACATTCCACATTTCCACAAAAAAAAACAAAGATCAAAATAGTCTTGATTATCTAATATTCAGCAAATATAATATTTATGAACATAAGGTAAGGTTAAATTTGACATTCAAATATGATGTCACACTTAATCTATCACCTAAATGTTAAAATAAAGCATTTCTGCAAAACAGAACTACAGTAAACTAATTTATTCACATTTATTGCCAAGACAAAGTAATTTTAAAATAGGCAAATAAAAAAAAATGAAATTAACAATTTTACTACAGAAGAAGAGTCTGATAACAGTGTAATATGAAACTCCTAGACTACAGTTAATATGCTATACGACAGTATATCTTTCAATAGTATCTTTATCTGTAAGGTTAAATTGTTGCCATTATCCTTTCATATTAACTCTTTAAGCTCTCAAAACTCACTCCCTCTCTGTTGCTAATGGCTGAATTGTTTTTACCCCTCAGGCTACAAGGGAAATTTGTATAGCAAAACTAGTCTAACAACTTTTCAATGGGCCAACTTAATTTTCAATGGATAAGACTGATTTTGGCCAATTTCGTGTTTAAAGAAATAAAAGTTCTACTAGAGGGCTTTCAACAGAGCATATTTAGTACAGTGCTTCTATTAAAGTGCAACTGTATAAATAAGCAAAAACTTGATGTGTGATCATTACTGATCAAAATACTTCTGCATAATGATTTTGGTAAACAAATTATCTCAAAAAAAATTTGAGAATCTTTAGGACATCATCATTCTACTAACAATCCAATCCTGTCATAATCTGTCAAAAAATTTTTACATATCATCCTCTTCAGTAGGGATGTTATATTTGAATGACTCCTTTCCCATATTTTTAGCTAATTCTTCTGCCACATGATGAATTATTAACCCATCAACAGGTACTGTACATTTTTTACAAACATTATTAAGTTAAAGCAAACTCAACTTTGCTATCTTTTCTGGTTCATTCTCTTTTACAAATCATGTTCTCATTTTTTTTTCTGTATTTTGATAATTTAACAATCATGCTCTTTTTCAAAATCTTGAATAAAACTGTGTGAAATTTTTAACTGTAATATTTCAATATTTCAGCAATATTTCATTGGCTCATTACTGGCAATAATGATAAAATAATGATAAAATAGGGCTCTTAGAATTCTAAAATTTCAAGTTCATCTTTGAGAGGTGAATATTTGCATATTCTTATATTTGTATTTCTTATATTAATTTCCTTCCTCCATCATGCTAAGAGATACAATACAGTACATTACAGTATTGTGCATTAATTAAGTAGTAATGAAGATCACAGTCTTCAATAATAGCAAACAGCTAGCTTATGAATGAAGTAAACTTAAACTGAAGTACCACATGCAGTATTGAGTGCAGGATTAAAATGAACATTAATGTATTAAGAGTAAAATCTTATATGATTGGACGATTTAATTTAAAATGATTCTGATCATTGTGCTAATGTTTTTATTGGAATCACATGACTTATGGTTGTTATTAACTATCTAAATAAATTCATATTTATCATTAGTAACATAATAATTGTAAGTCAAAGTTTTGTATTATTATTTAATTTACAGTAGACCCCCTATAACACAATAGATACATTCTGTTTTATATGAATTCCGTGTTTTACGAGTCACTTAAATACATGAGCCAATCACAGCCCTGGACGTGTGCAGTTTAGGGACTACAGCTATTTGAAAGGTTTTCTTCCATAAAATTAATCGATTCTAGACTAATTTGACTCAACATTTCCAAAACATGTATAATTTTTTGTGAATAATCCATATAAACTATGCTATAAACAAAAAATTGTAGGATTACTTACCGAGTGTGCACTGTTTGACGACGCCATTGCTTAAGCTTGTTTTTGTCATAGAGCTTGTCATCGAATGGCGCTCGCACGTTTCATGATAAATTATTTTTTTTGTGAAAAATTCGCTGAACTTTGGAGACATCATTAATATAAATATAATTTTTATGGCCGTTAAATAATAAATGGATTTTAGTAGGTCTGCTGCTCGTTTAAACTCAATGGTTTGTGCAATATCTGCTATTGGTCTAGATTCGACCAATCCTGTCACAATACGACTCGGCAATGACGTTTTACCATATTATATGAATCTCTTTTAGCATGTTTATACGAATACGATCCCAAGTTTTTTGCTGTGTTATACAAATCCGTATTATATGAACCTGTGTTACAGGGGAGTCTACTGTACTTGTTTTTGAGATGTATTGATTCTCATAATATTAGTATTAAACTGATAATATTTGTGATTACCTGCTGATTCACTGTGTTCATGTGTATATATTAAATGAGATGTCATTTACTCTTATATTTTATATGTAAATAAAAATCAAATTACAAAAATATGTCTACACTACTTAGAAGTATATGTATTTAGATAAAGACGTATAGATTGTTCATTTAATTATTGCTATAGAATAACTAAAATAAAGACTATAGAAGAACTGTAGTCTAAAAACTTAAATATTACAGATGCATATAAATAAACAGATGAAGTCATTATTCTCTATAGAAAGAGAAAAGTTTTGCATAATCATAAAGTTTCTAGTATTTCTATCTATTTATATAAAATTATATTATTAAATATCTGCTTTGTAACAACTGAAACAAAAAAAACTGTAGTTTAATATAAACATATAAAATGAATATATTATGTAGAATATGATCTGCAATATTGTTAATATCTATTTTATCACAATACACAAATATGCAAGTCATGTTACCTGTGCAATTTGGTTTTAAATAAAAATAAGTTATTTGGGAACATTAATTAAATGTATAGAATCATCCTAAAATGAATCATGATGGTTGTTGTCAGCAAAAACAACGATTTTTATATCTAAAATATTTGTAATGTGTAAATAATGCTGAAGCATTTAAATTAAAGCAGGAGTGTCCAACCTTTTTGTTTCTCTGGGCCGCATTGGAAGAAGTCAAGGAGTTTTGGGCCACAAGTATATATAATATATACTTGTGGCCCAATATACAAGTATATTTAAAAATTAACATATCTAGATTATAATAATAAGTATTAAAACGTTATCAAGAAAAAAGGATATTTTAAAAAATTACTTCTACAGACACTTTCAATTTTTACTTAGAAATAGATAAATTCCTTTATTTAAAGAGACTAAAGAAAATTTATTTGAAAAAAACAAATATTTGTTTTATTTGGGTCTCTAATTAATAAAAAGCGACGAAAGGCCATTTTAAAGTGCATTTTTATTCAATTAATATAATTATAATTAATATGTAGCCGAAAAAGTAGCCAAAGCGCCAAATGATATTTTTTATGTCAAGCAAAAAAAAAAAGTAGCCACATTTGGCCCAATGTTGCCAAATCTTGCAATGTTGGAAGAAATACTTAATAAAGCTGGAGTTGTGAATCAAAGGATTATAGACCCAAGTGCTGGGAAAAAGAGGACAAAAGATAAAGAAGTGAAAAAAGGTTGAAAAATTGTGTCCATATTTGCTTAACAGAAGATCTATTTAACGTTTCTCACTACTACATCTTTTGTCCTTTCTCATCTTTCCCTCCTTTTCCCAAATTTGGGTCTATAATCCTTTGAGTCGCAACTCCAGCTTTATTTAGTAATCCTTCTGCATTCACACATCTCCAAGTATTTGAGAATATTTTCTTTCCACTCAAAAATAAAATATGAATAAAGGTTTACGGCTTTGTGAAACTTTTTTTGAGTTTATGCCGTTGAAACAAATAAATAATAAAAAAATTAAAACATTTGTCAGTTTTGTTTACACATTTATTGGGCCGCATTGGAACTTGCCTTGGGCTGTGAGTTGGACACCCCTGAATTAAAGCATTTATATAAGTTTCCCAAACAACAGAGTTTGACAAAAACATTACACCAAGAATGAGACACTGGAACGTAATGAATTTGACATAGTTAACAAACTATGTCATAATCAACAACAATTTGACATAGTTAACAAACTATGTCATAATCATAGCATTTTTGCTATGATTATGACATCATAGCAAAAATATAATTTCCCATGGAACAATTATACAATTTAAAGGAATCTTTAATATCTTGTATAACCTCTTTGTAATGATACATGTTTATTATACATGTTATATATTGTATGACCTCCTCTCATGGGTACATGTGAGTATATAATCAGACATGAAATCATTCAGGCATCATATTGTATCTTATGACAGATTTTGCCCACAGTTGTTGCAAATGCCATTCCAGATTCTTGTTGATAGCCAAATGGTATCCCATCTGCTCACATAAATGCCTGATGGGTGACAAATACGGAAACTGAGCAGGCCATATTTTAACAACTGCTATGGTATTTGGCTCATTTTAGTTTTAAAAGTTATGGCTTTCATAGACAAAAAACATCCAGTTTATTTTAGAATTCAGTGTCCAAAAAGTTACTCTGCAGTGGAAAAGGTTTAAGTGAAGTTTTAATAAAAGTGAAGGTTTACATACAATATTGCAACATATACAGTAAATGTCAGAAATGTCTCCCAGAGACCCAAAAGTCTGGAGGAGTAAGGTCTGGAGACTTAGCAGAACAAGATTCCATGGAAGATTATGTGATCAGCAAAGAAGTTTTCCAAAAACTGTAATTCAAAAACTAGAACATCTGTGAGCAAACAGTAATGCAATCTACTGCAAAGTGGAAACATAAAACACACAACTTATATGTATGGCATTGCATAAGAGACCCATAACTTTAATGTCATTAAAAATTTCTCTCTGCACAGTAACTTTTCAGACATCCTGTACATTTCTGCATTCAATTTGCATTTTGAATAATTTTATTTTCTTATTTAAAAATCAAATCATAAAATTAACACGGCATTTTAAACACTGTAGAATACATTTTTTCATAAATTAAAATGAATTATCTGACAAATATCAAAGGCATGCATAATTAACAATCTTCCAAACTTTAACTTTGTGATTACATAAATTATTTATATATAAAATATTCACATCTGTATACTTACTGTAATTCTTCTCATAACTTTATGTTCTAAATAAGTCAAATGTTCAGCTAGTTCTCCAGCTTCTAAATGATCAAATACTAAAGAGACTTTTCTAGTATGCTTTGCAGGTGGATTCCTGACTGAAATGTTTCTTGTCCAATCATAGGAAGGCCTGTAATATGTTAAATATTTATATAAAAATGCCACAGAAAAGTATATATCTATATNAAATAAAAAAGGTTTTTGAAATTTATTGAAGTTATGAAATTAAAAAATAAAATATTTAACATTAAAAATACATTAGTATTCAAGAATCTTTAATTAATCTCCATAAAGAACTTGAATGTTATATTAACAAACTATCTTCTGGAGAACCAACCTGAGCAAGTATCTTGTTCTCTATTGCTCAAGTACTTTCAGACACCACCCAACATCAACTTTTTTTTTTTTTTTTAATAGATCACTAAGGAATTTGATATTTTAAGTGTTTTCAAAATCTTTTATTCTATCATCTTTCATTTTCTTGTTCTTAAAAATATTCTAAACCATTATGCAGACAAATTCTATAAAGTGCCCTCTCTCAGGCCTTTGTTTAATCAAAACATTTCTTTTTCTTCCTTCTTTCTTCTCATCTGGTTACCTGTTTCCAACTCGTTAACATCACAGATTGGGATGTGTTGTCAATTACCTCCATATTGCAATTTTTCTTACAAATCCACACCTTTTCTATCATTCTGATAGTTTCCTGTCCTAAATTTATTCCCCTAAGTGTGAATCCCTCCAATTAATTTTGTCTTATCTAATGCCATCTCCACTAAAGATGTTGCTATTTTACCTTTCTTACAGTTATCTAAATGTTCTTTGAGTTTGGTGTTTAGGATTCTCCTCTTTGCACCAATGTAAAATGCTTGCTTTTACAATTTTTGTTTTATTGGTTTAAAACATAATATAAAAACTTGAGAAACAGGTAACAAAAAAGTTTCATTATTTTATTCTATTCTATTGTAACCCCAATATGGATTTTATATCAAATTTGGCTTCACACATGCACACTTTAAACAGTATATGTTATCTTTAGTTAAATTTATAATTATATTCTAATTCTTACATCATTCTATTCTTGTAGCAACTTATGAAGCTCTATCAATCTATATCAAAAATATTTTTGTCATTAAATTGATTTGCTGGAATTATGAAAGGTGATATTTTGTTTTCTTTTATTGATATTATGTATATTCTCAACTTGTCCACTGTGTCTTGTTGTTTTCTTTGTCATTTAAACTGCAAAGATGTTTCTCTTAATGTAAAAAAGGAGATATCTTAAGAACGTTCTTCTTTCATGTTATTTTCTCAAACATTTTGTAGAAATTTGGGCTCATGAGTCCACATAATGTAAAGGGACTCTTTTCCTCATTTGATGTGAAGATGAGGTTGACTGGCTCAAAAGTACTTGAGCATTAGGGAATGAACTATTTTCTCAGGTTTGTTTTTCAAAAAAAAATAGTTAAAATAGTATTCAGTTATCAATCTTTGATCTCCAATGCTCAAATCAGCAATATCGATATAATAATTCCTTTTGTATATAATCAGTAAAAAACAAATTAGATGATCATACAAAATTTTGATAAAATATGCAGACAGCTATTTTTAAGTATGATGATTTGTTAAAAAGAAAACTAAATTGAAAAATAAATATCATATTATTATTCTGTTGAAACTTTAATATAGTATTATAAGAGTAAAATGCCAATGAATACTTGTAAAGAGATCATACTCTTAAATATTAAATAAATCCTTCGATATATGTGAATTATTAAATGTACAATTTGGCATTGTAAACAACACTGACATCACCAAACTGTATGATTTTTAAACTCTCAAACTCATATAAGTTTTAAAAAACTTGGCTGACAATATTTACAATTTATAAGAACATCAAATATCACAAAATACAAAAACAAAGTTTTTTGTATGTTCGTGACAATTATGTTTTTATAAATCATAAATTTCATTACTACTTACACACACACACACACACACACACACACCTGTTACAAAAACTTGAACCACATATATCTGTCAATAAAATTAGAACTCTTTAAGGAAATCAAATGAATCTTTTGCAAATTTATAAATACAATATTTGTTCAGAAAAAAATTTATAATTAACAGTTAATATGTACTCCATTAAGTGCAATACATCTTTCAATTTTTATAAAGGCATCAAATCTTTGACCAAGTTCAAACAATTTAAAAAATAAATTTATCCAAATTTTTTCTATTGCTCTATTTTGGTTAAATTCAGTTTATGCAGAAATTCTCTTTCAATGAGATGCTGGAGTACTTTTCATTTATTCCAATTCTGTGGACATTATTTATTATTTTTCACTTCACCAGCAAACAAATAAGTCCACAAAATTTTTCCTGACTTGTCAAAAGCATATTATATATCTTATTGTGACCTCGGCAAAAAATCCTTGACTTCTGACACCAGTGTGACTGGAGGGTGGGCACCTTTTAGTGCCTTGTCAGGACTGACACCACCATATCCTGATTGACATGGAAGCTGAGACAGTGTGTCGATTCAGTCACGCAAGCAGCTTCATATGTGGGCGATCGGATCCAGGATGGAGATGGGTTGAGAGACAGCGTACAGGAAGTGAGTCACTCAGGTACCAAGTTAACAACTAATAACGATTTAATTATGTAGACAATATGATACAATTTACAGTTAGAATTTGTTACAGTTTGTTAGGCCTTAACTTCAAGGGATCTTTAAACGAAAGTGGTCACAAGAGAGATAGTTTACATGAGATTTGTGTGGCGATAAATACCTTGGGGTGATGATGTTCGAAAATAGTCTGATGCTCATTCTTGGGAGGTGTTCTTGATCATGTAGCAATGTAGCTTAGTCCCCTGAGATAGAGTTCATCTTCAAAATGCATACCCGTAGACGAGGAAGTATCTGTTGAACTGAAGTATCCGCAAGAACTAGGTATATCTGTTGACACTAAATTAGGCACTACATAAGGGATGATATTCTGTTGAGGGACTGGTGACGACTGCCTAAACTTGTTTTTCTGGCTATATTGACTTGGAGAAATCAAGATAGTAGGTCAGGACATTATGAGAAAACGTCACTTTTACTGCTGAGAACTTAACAAATGATTTACTCCCAGGTGTGAAAGTTGATGTTATGACATTAAATTGTTTATGTTGAAGTCCGATTTCTCACATTATCAATAGAGGTCATTTCTATTAATTTCAATTTACAGTTAAAAAATTATAATAGTTTTGCTTAAATGTATAAGTTATTCAATTGTTTTTTGTAACAGATTTTAATTCTTATTGTTTGAAATCCTTCACTTTAGTGTCACATTTGAGTTGGTGTTATTTTAGAGGTGAACAATGATACTAAATCAAGATTTAACTATATATGAATCTCAAAAATGTGATCATGCTTTAATTTTTCAGTATTCTTTCAAAATAAACTGTATATGAAATACTTATTAATCAAATTAAATTTCAAATCTAAGAAACTACTTTGTGAAGAAACAGACAAGTCTCCTGTAAATTTACTTCAAAACAAAATATATATAAATTCTGTGAGTTTGTTAAATATATATATATCATATACTAAGACATTGCTTGACTTTGTCATATCATGATAAAATTGAAGCAGAGCCTGAAGGAAAGAAGTGGTCCCTACACCTGTTAAGCATTCAAAAGAGGCAATTGCAAGTTATCCTCATACTTGCAGGCCATGGGAGATACAATCCTTGTATTGGCCAGGTATAGAGAGATGATCCAAAAACAAAGCAATCAATGGCAATTGCTTTGTTCTTGTGTTTTATTTGTTTTTTGCACCTATTTTCTGTTAGGTGCATGTAATACTGTTTTTATTTTTGACCCCTAGGCCTAAATTCCATTAGGTGTCCTCATCGCAATAGAGAGCATGGATATTGTCATTGGAATACCTTTGTATATCAAAAACGAAGTCATGAACTCCTATTTTTACTTTTCTGGCTCTATTACAGATAACAGAGGGAAAGTATGGCGATTGGTCAAAATATGACCCCCCCAAGATTTTTACGTTTTTGGACTCAGGGGACCTTGAAACATCAAGAAATGCAAAAACATTAACATCCATATATACAGGGAAAAAAACTTGTGTGTGTGTGTGTGTGTTTTTGGGGGGATATGATTTTGTTTACCCTCTTTGCTCTTGTAAATCTTTCTAATATACAAACCTTCCTGCAAAACTTCTGAAATTTTGCAGAAAGGTTTGTATATTAGAAAGATTCATGCTATTAAATTTTGGTGGTTTAAGGTCAGCAGGATGAGGAGATAAAGGGTGATTGTGTATCATATCTTGAATAGGGTCAAACTTAATGATGATTTTACTGGAAAATGGCAAAGTTTAATCAAAACCTATCAAATGGATTTTGAGAACAAACAATTCTGAATGCCTCACAGAAGCTTCACTAACGCACCACTTCAAATATAATGCTTAATATGATCATGTAGTATTTTTATATTGATCACAAAATTTATTTGTTTGAAGTTTTTGTTTTAATTACTATTAAAGATTAAAAAAGTAGCTGAAAATTATTTAGCATTCTTCTAAGTAATTTTTCTAATGCCTTTAGCTAACTTTGTTTGAATAATATGACATGATTTTCTAAATTTAGATAATTATTTTTTAATAACTCAGTAGAGTCTTATGCTGAGTGAATGATTTTATTCACTTATATTTTTAATAAATTTCAGAAGTACTTACAAAATTCTTCAAATATTTACTGATATTAAAGAATCAGATAATACCCAAAATGTTGAAATATATATTTTAAAATTAATTAGTATGCTACATGAATGTGATACTAGAATTTGAAACTTTATTTATTTTTTCTATGATATAATAGTATTATATATTTTGTTGAATTAGATATATTTCCATTGATTCTTCAATTTCATATTTATCAATTTTGATATATTTCAGTTTTTTGTGATGGTTATAGATTTACTTATGTAGAATAATTAAATACTGTAGTATAATAATTTAATGAAGTCTGTAATGTTTATCCCGTGAACAGGGAATGAAAAAGTGTTAATTAAAGTATCATCTTATTTGGAAATAAGTTAAGTGATTATATTTATTGATATTTTAAAGGTATTTTTTTAATTATTATTTTATTATAAAATTATTATTTTTGCATTTTATTATGCAAAATAACATGCACACTTAAACATAATTATTATTAGACTTATTTGAAGAATGTTTTGATCAAAAATGTAAATATTTTTCTAATTAATTTTAAAATAAATTCTAATTTTCTATAAATATATTTCAAAAAACATACAGTTTTGATAAGTCTACAAGTTCAGCTAATCCACTGAAACCTTTTTCTTGAAGTTTTTGTTGAAAGTCAAGAAGGATGGAAGAAAGTTCTCTATTCTGATCAAAGTGGATGGAAAAGGTAAAGATCCAGTACCTAGATTTAATTAATTGAAAAATAGAACTTAAAAAATTATCACACAAATTCCAAAAGTTTTAAAATAATTTAACTATATTTATTACTCTTTTTATTCAAGAAAATGAAAAAATTAATAATGAGATTTTTAAAAGATTTTAAAATAAATAACAATTTTAAATATCAGATTTAATTTATTTTTTTATTAATTATCGATAAAACTATTACACAATTATTAATAAAATTAAGAGTGCCAATAAATGTGATTAAATGTAATTTAGTGACACTATAACCTAATTATTACCTTATATTATAATTATCAAACAATCAGATAAACACCTTTCATTGATCTTTACAAAACCCATAAGGTATTTATTATTGAAATAAATGATTACATACATATAAAAATATTGTGTGTGTATTAACTTATAAATTTTGTTTTTGAAGGACAAACACAAGCAAATATTAAAGTATCCTTAAATGTTATAATTTGAGACTTCAAAAACTTCAAAATCAAATATACAATTTTAATTATACTTATTTTTTTGGCAAAAAATTTTTCCAAAATAAAATGATGATACTTAGAAGAAAAGTTATGCAATTCAGAAATTCAGAAAAATTGGAAACATTGTATATAAGTAGAGTAGTTCATCCACAACACAAAACTATTCTTTGTTCATGCCATATTACAGTTTCAGAGAAAAAATTATCTTTGAAAACAATGTTATTTCTTGTTTCTGCAGAATAATTGCTGATCAGTGAGATATATCAAAAAAAGTTTAAACAAAAGTTGCATCTCTTTTTTTGTCTACAAAACTGCATATAGATAAGCATCAAGAAATTCATGTTCTTTGAGTTACTCCCACCACCAACTCATAACAGATTTTCATACATTATCTTATTTATCATGGAATTTGCAAAGTAGTGTAATAAAATAACATCTCAAGCAGTGTATGTATATTTCTGTTTGAAAAAGGTTACAAAGTAGTATTTTCACATAAATTTACAAAATACAAAACTCTATTTTAAGGGTTAGTGGTAGGGGGAACTCAAAAAACATGAATTTTTCAATACTTATCTGCATGCAGCTTTGTAGACATAAAAAAAAAGTGTCTGAGATGCAACTTTCATTTAAACAATTTTTCTATATAGCTCACTAATTGGCAATTATTCTGCAAAAACAAGAACCTCTGAAATCATATGGCACAAACGAAAAATAGTTTTGTGTTGTGGATGAACTACTCTACTTTTACACAATGTTTCAGATTTTTCTGAATTTCCAAGTTGCCTAACCTCCCTTGTTAATTAATATGTTTACATTGTTAATTCAATACTATCCTATTTTGTGTCAGCACTTGTTTTGATTCTTTGAACACCCTGAAGTTTTATGTTTTAAATTTTACCTCCAAAAATGCTGAAGAAAATAAAAAGTTTATCTCAATAATGATTATAATAAGGAAAAAATAAAAATAAATGTATTACATAATTTTATTTCATTGTATAGCAAATCTCCTATTCTGCAATAAAAATGTTTTTGAAATGTATTATTACAATGACTTCTAAAATATTTTAAAAAAAAATGGACAAATGTATGTAAGGTAATTGTTTTAAAAACAGATGAAAAACATTCTGTAAAAATTCTGTAAAGTAAAAATTTTAAAAATACATTCATCAGACTTAAAAAAAGCAGTAAGAAATGAAATGATAGAGATTTAGTTGAAGTGAGAAAAATTTAAAGATACTGAAAGCATAAAACAATTGTTATTCCTATAAAGAAGACATTCATACTGTAAACTAGAATGTTCCTACTGCTTTTGAATTTTTATAAATTATTGTAGTATATATCACATTATGTAATGTTAACTTAAAATAATAATTTTGCTTGTAGAATGTCTTAAACTGTAGATTGAATAAATTTTTGAAAGCATTGATTCTAGAAATTCAAATAATGTTTCAAACATAAATGTTTACTTTGAACTTTTAATGAAATATTTTTAGATTAGATAATTTAATTTACATGATCAACTAAATTAAATCAAATAGTATTCTTATAAAAGAAATTCTCTTTACAATTTTATGTGTCTTCCCAATATTATAACATTTTAATATATTTAAATAGAACGATGTAATTAACATTATTTCCAGTTTATAACAGCAATTGGCAATTGTAGATATTTTAGATTAGCATTTGAAGGAGTGAAAACTAATTTTTTTCTCTAGCACTTGTTTCTCTGTCAATATTACAAACTTGAGAAAAAAAAAAAATACTTTTTCCATCAAGAAAATATTAATTAAGCTAAACATAATCATGATAAAATATAAATAGATGATAACAATGTTAAAATTAAAAAGTAAAAAAGGGTAACATAAAAGTGAACCCTTTATTTTCAAATACTTTGAAGTAAATTGATATTTTTTCTGAAAATAGAAGAATGAATGAGTTGTACATAAATCCTATCAAATAAAATTATATAGTAAAATATAAGCTTTATTGTAAATATCCTATGTCATTAAAATTATCAGAAATTTACAAATCAAATTCAATAATCTTTTAAATCATTAGATTACTGAATTTAATTTCAAAAATAAATTAAGAAATTTAAATATAATTTCCAAAATAATAAGATAAATACAATGTTTTTTTATTAATGTATTTTAATGAAAACTTTATTAAATCATTTAGTTCTTTTTGACATTAAAACAATATAAAAATCTAAAATTAATTTCTCTTTCATTATATTCTATGTTAAATAAAAAATCGTCGTTTATCCGAAACGTCAGTTATCCGAAAGTGTTCCAGTCGTCAAATTTAAATTTTCGATAGTGCTGTGGCACTGCAATCTTTGGCTACTCCAATATTTTTTTTGTTGTGTGTGTTTTAGCTGGCAGCACTGGCACTTTTGTGTGGTGTTTTTCTGAGGACTGTGTGTCGTGCTAAATCAAACGTTTTTGATACTAGATTAACCTCTAAAGTATAATTTTTTTTGTTTTTATATTTTTCAATATATTTATTTTATTTGTAAAAAATAAAGAAATAATTTTTAAATGATACAATAGCCACGATTATTATTTTAAAAAGTTTACATTAGGCTTAACATCGACAAAAATTCAACATGAAGCAACACGCAATGGAGAAAAATTTCAGCATAAGATAGGTTAATATATTTTTTCGTACATAATCGGTTATCCGAAAAATAAGTTATCTGAACAACCCCAGTCTCCAATTGATTCGGATAAACGACGCTCTACTGTATAAACATAAAACTTTAGAAACACACCTTGTGTTAGTGAATCAAATAAAACTTTATATTAAGTTTTATCTTTAAAATTTTAATAATAATTTTTATATATTTAGTTTTCATATCAAATAGTTACCTGAATGTTTGAGAGATACGAGCACGATAACGATATATTTGACAATCAATTACATTCTTCAAAGAATGTGTACATTTTGGATGACAAGTAAAAGCAGTATCACAATTCCAAAATGTAAATAATTAAGGAAATTAATACAAATGAATGATTTTATTGATAAGTGGTTCATACAGATATTCTCAAACTATAATTATCATTATAACATTAATTTTCTAAATTAATTTAGCCTTTAGAATAAATATTTAATCAATCAAAATAACTGAAAAAACAATTTATCTAAAATGAGATTTATTATTATGTTGGATTTAGTGGGTAATACTCGGTTTAAACCGGTGGCTGTGTACTATGCCGGATCAGAGTCAAGGCATAGCAACCAAAACAAAACTAAAATTAAATAAGTGTGTCAGTGTCTGTATTCAGGAATTTCCTAACAATGTGGCATGTATTCAATATAGTGGCCTTCTGTAGTGTTATGTATGTATTTCTACTCAATTCTAATGTTCCCAGGCTTTTGTGTAGTGTGTGTGGTATCACACCTGTACAGGAAAGAACAACAGGTACAATAACTACCCTATCCATCCTCCATAGATGCCTTATTTCCTGGGCAAGTTCTGTGTACTTGCTAATTTTTTCAGTGCATGTGTTTTGTA